TGGGCCCTGCACTCTCACCTGGCTGCCGCTGCCTCCCGCACACCCACTCACTCCCAGTGCCCCAGCCCCCTGGTACAGGCAGGGACCAGTACACAGCCACAAACCCACACACCCCACGCTCCCCCATCTGGACTGAGTAGCAGCGGCAGGGAACAAGCTGGTGCTCAGTGCAGGAGAAAACCAGCTCTTCCACTGCCCCCATGGCTGGCACTTCCTGTTGCAGCTGTTCACAGCCTATGCAGGGCTGTCCTGCCTCTCTGCCATGTCACTGCCACCCCGCGAGGCAGCGGTGGCAACGGAGAGCAGACACTAGCAGCCCCACATGGGCTTCAAGCAGCTGCAGCAAGGGGCACCAGCCAGGTGGAAAAAGAGCAGCCACTTTTCTCCTGCGCTGAGCACCAGCTCATTCCCCAGAAACTGCTGCTCGGCATGGAGGAAAGCAGGCCCCCCCCCCCCACTCACTGCTGCCAGGCAGTCTTTGATGCGGCTGCCTGTCTGGAGCCCACACCACACTAAGCTGGACTGCGGCGGCTTCACCTCTGTGCTGCCCAAGTGAAGCAGTTCAGCATGGCACAAGCTATGGGCAGGCAGCCACAGCAAACACTGCCCAGTGGCTGTGAGCAAGGGGGCCACTTTCCTCTGTGCTGAGCAGCAGCTTCTGCCCAGCTGTTGCTGTGGCTCAGCCCCAATGGGCGATCCTGGAGCTGGCACAGGGCCCAGGCTAGCACTGGCAGAAGAGAAGGAGCTGGTGCTCAATGTGGGCGGGAAAAGCGGCCACTCCCCTTCCCTGTGGCCAGTGCCCTGTGCTGCAGCTGCTCAGAGCCTGCACGGGGCTGCCTGTCCCTGCTCTCTTACTGATGCAGCATGGAGGCAGGACAGCCCTGTATGTGCTGTGAACAGCTACAGCAGGAAGCAGCTGCCACAGGGGGGCACTTTTCTCCTGTGCTGAGCACCAGCTCACTTCCCTGCCACTGCTGCTCAGCCCAGACAGGCGAGCACAGGGAGTGCAGGATCAGGACTGGGTGCTGCTCCCTGCCTGTACCATGGGTCTGGGGCAGAGGGGGCTGGGAGTGAGTGGGCACGCAGGAGCCAGAGGCAGCTGGACTGGAGCGCAGAGCCCATGCCAATGCCCTGGGGCCAGCAGGGGCTCTATGGAGCCGGGTCAGCTCCCCCCTCCCCCTGCTGGTACAGCCCAGCCCGGCTCCACAGACCCCTGCCAGCCCACACCCCACGCTCCTACTGGCCTGTTCTGGGCCCCGCCAGAGCTGGCTCCCACGTGCCACTCGCTTCCACTCCCCCCACCACCTTCCCACCAGCTCCCAACATCATGTCCAGACTGTGCGGCTCAGCAGGAGCTGGCCTGGCCTGTCATCAAGACGGAATCCAAGGATGAGGAAGTAGAAGGATTGTGGGTTAGGCTACGTGGGGGGCAAGGAGAAAGGGACTTGGTGGTAGGGGTCTGCTACAGACCCCCCAAGGGGAAGAAATAGATTCGGGGCTCCTGAGGCAACTCTCGGAGACCATAAAAGCTAAAGAGGCGGTAGGCATGGGGGACCTAAACTACCCGGACATCTGCTGGGAGTCACAGACAGCAAAGTCCAACCGCTCACGCAGGTTTCTAACCTGTGTACAGGACCTCCACCTGACACAGGAGGTACATGGTCCCACTAGGGGGAATGCCATACTGGATCTGGTATTGGTAATGGGGGATGACATGGTTGGGGACCTACAGATTGGTAGCCATTTGGGGGACAGTGATCACCTAATAATAGAATTCACCATAAGACGTCGAGTGGGTAAGGTAACTAGTAGGGTGAAAGTGCTAGACTTTAGGAAAGCTGATTTCAATGAACTCAGGTGATTAGTCAAGGACGCACTGCAGAGTAGGAGTTTTGAAGGGATGGGAGCCCAAGAAGGGTGGCTGTGCCTTAAGGAATCAATCCTTGGGGCACAAAGGGAGACAATCCCCGAGCGAGGGGAAAGGGGCCAGGAGGCTTCCCTGGCTGACCAGAGAAATCCAGGGCAGCCTAAGGGACAAAAGGGGAGCGCACAAAAAGTGGAAACAGATCACCAAAGATGAATATACCTCCTCTACTCGTGCTTGTAGGGAGGCAGTTAGACGGGCCAAAGCT